CAGCAGCAGGTGCAAGTGCCAGGCAGGACCTTAGCATGTGGGAGCAAAGAATTTTCAGTAACCACTAGAGGCTTGCCCTGATGACAGTGACTAGTGCCCAGACTTGGTCTGGCAGCCCTGCTCACCTGCTCCACCATCCCACTGCAGCCAATGCCCACCATGTTCTGTGCTCTGCTGCCTGCTTCTGATGCCCACCATGTTCTGCACGTGCCCCCTGGTAGTCAGCACACATCATAGCGACTGGTTGTTCGGTTGTTCTTCTGTCCAGTCTATTTGCATATTAGCTTTTTATTATATAGGATTAAGCTAAAAATTGAGCTGGAAGGTTCAAATTATAATATGGTGGGATGATGAGGGCATGGCAGGGCTGGGGGGTTAGGGAGGGCTCAAAGTCCTAGACCAGGGGCCAGGATTTCGAGTGTTACCCATGGCTATCTTCTTCCCATTTCCAGGAGACATCAGATTTCAGGTGCTATGGATTAGCCACATGGGAGGAGCCAGGTGTGCTGTGCATGGTGGGAAAGATTTATTAGGGGTGATTAGAAAAAGCAGATGGAGGATGATGAGAAGACTTGACAGGGTAAAGACAGGAAGGGCATTGGAAAAGCCACACAGCCTGATTCCAAAGCTCTAATTCAGACAGTCTTGGGTTCCAATGTTCGTTCCATCACCTATTAGTACAGTGTGTGGCACATAGGAGGTGCCTAGTAATTACTTGCTAAATGAATGAATGGTGACCTTGACCAGCTCACTTATTCTATCTGAGCCTCAGTTTCCTCATCTGTAAGATAAATAGTAGCTATTATTTTTATTATTTCGCCTGTGTTGTGTCTCCCCACACCTGTATTAGCTTGCTGGCCCATCTTCCCAACCCTGCACTGGAGAGGTTGCCATACTAAGTAAGTCTCCTTCATTAAGTGTCAGAAAGGGCAGATGTGCACAAGGCCTTCTCTTTTGTCTTGTGTCCTCCCCCTGCTCATCCTTACCTCCTGGCCCCATTTGTTTCCTTTTCTATCACAGGCAAACTTGCAGTACAGTCTGGGAACTCAGAGCAATTGTAGAAACCTTACAATTCCAACACATAGACATGTACAACTCACCCAACCCTTCCCTGCCTCCACCTTCAGAAGGTTGGTCCTGGGCTGCAACGTGAAGCTTTTTCCCCTCTAGGGATCTTTACTTGATTCAAATGTCATCAGCAACAGGGAGTAGAAAACCTCTACCCCTGCATCCCCATGTAGAGCTACCCAGTAACTTGGGAAGCTAGCTGCCTCTGGAGATTGATCACATCATCACTGTTCCAACTATGGAAGATGCCCTGTGAACCAACCCCTCTGGTATATGCTAACCAGAGTAAAGGCAAACAAGTGTGAGCACATGAAGATGGTGTGAAGATGATTTTATAGTAGTGGTCATGAGCTAGGCTGAATGTTCCACTCTCTAACCAACACTTCCTGTGAGCAATGATATATATCCTTAAGATTCATTGGTATGAGAAGAGCAATTTGTGGGAGCAAAACATAGCTTTTCTCTGTATGAAGCTGAAAGCTTTAATTGACTTTATGATTTTATTTTTGTCTTTTATCGCTGTTGGATAGACTAATGGGCAGATAAGGTGAAGTCTAAATCTGCCAGTTCCTCCAGTCATCCTGTAGCATGTGGAATGCATCTCTATAAGAGGAACCTCTTCAGATTTGATCTCCAATAGGTTAAAAATCACATCTTTTGTGCTTCTAAGGGATGTGGTGGGGAAGAGAAAAAAACCCAAGCTTCAGGGGCTGAACAAATTTAACTAGACAAGCTCTCCCATGGAATGGAGCTTTCACCCATCCACTCCCTCATCACCATCCCACCTCCTCAAGTGAATCTGTGCCTGTGTTCCCCCTTTGTTTTTAATGGGGAGAAAGGGAGGACAAGAACAATGAGAAATGTCCAGCCTTGCCAAGGCTTTTATATGCAAGAATAAATGACAGTCTTGTAGGCAGGTTCAGAAAAATCTTTCAGAATGCAGAAAATTCAGCAGCCTTTCCACATTGACCATTGTCATGGCAACACACTATCTGATGACAGCATGCGTCACAAGACTGGAGGGGCACGGTCTCAGAACAGCAGGTTAGCCTGGCCATTTTTAGCAACATTTGGACTTCTTTGTAGCCTATTTTTTCCAGGTTTAGCTGAATTTCTTTTCAGTTATGGACTTGCGTGTCTAGAACACAAGAGCCTGTCAGTATGCAAGGGATGGCTAAATGGAAAATGTGAAGATTCCTAGTATGTATAACCACTCTACTTGCTGTCTGCCCTCTCTGGATCCTCCCTGCCCACTCTCAGCCACTTAGTTTTTTTCCTTCTCTTCATCAATTCTTTCCTATGCACAACAACTGTGACTCATCTACCAACTCGCACACTCTCATATTCTTATTTTTCCTCATTTTAATGAACAGTATCCTAGAATATTAGGGTTAGAAGAAACCTTAACAATAATCTAGTGCAATCACCTTCCCCCAATGCAGAAGCCCTTTTACTATTTGATTGGCAAAAGATTGTCCAGTCTGTATCTTGTAAGTCTCCAGTGATAGAAACCACATCCTTTTCTGGGCAGACAGTTACACGTTGGACATCTCTAATTGTAAGAAAATTATTCATTCTAACGAGTGAAAATCTGCTTTTTAAAAAATAATATCTACCCATGGGTCCTAGCTCTGTGCTCTATGACCACATCAACTCTATCTACACCCTTTGCTCTGTGACAGCCTCTCAAGGATATGAAATAGAGACCTCATGCCCCTAGGTCTTCTTTTCTCCAAAAGCCCAGCTCCTTTAACCAGACATCTTGGAGCCTGGAATCCAACTGACCTCCTGGAGCAAGCTCCTATTTGTCTAGGGCAGTGGTCGGCAAACTGTGGCTCACAAGCCACATGCAGCTCTTTGGCTCCTTGAGTGTGGCTCTTCCACAAAATACCGACTTCTACGCACAGGCCATGAAGTTTCAATCGCACTGTATGTGTGCGCCCGCACATGGTATTTTGTGGAAGAGCCACACTCAAGGGGCCAAAGAGCCACATGTGGATCGCCAGCTGCAGTTTGCCGACCACTGGTCTAGGGTCTTTTAAAAGTGAGGCTTTTAGAAATCTAAAAGTACCAGCATCTGTGAGCCACCTTGCCCTGGTGACTCACACTGAGCTCTGTGTTGAGTAAAATCCCTAACTCTCTTTCAGAGAAAATGATGCTAAACCTTGTCTTTCCAACTTGTATGTGTCCAGTTGCTTTTGAGAACCCATTTCTTGGTTCATACATTTTTCCCCACTTTAATTTCATTGTGTTGCAATCAGAATATTGCTTTCACCTGTTAGGATTTTTAAAAAATATCTTGACTTCCCCATGTAACTTAATATGTCTTCTGTGATTTTCTTTTCTTTGTTGTTGTTGTTGTTGTTGTTGTTTTTTGTTTACCAACCCTCAAACTATTTTTTTTATCGAAAATATTTAAAAATGTATTCCTCTTTTGGGTTTCTTACCTTTTCCTAGATTTCTTCCCTTTGAATTACCTTCCTTATGTTTCCTCTCACTTGTCATTTCCATTTCCTCAATAGCAAGATGTCACCACGCTCTGGAAATATGTTTTTGGGTACATGTGCAGGAAAGCATGAGGGCATACAGATATCTGCACATACGTAAATGTTAGCAAGTGGCTGCAGAGGCTTGTGTAGTTTCTGTTTCTATTGCTTTGTATGTGCTCTACCAGGATTTAGAGACTGGATGGGGGGGAAATGGCAAGGTTTGTTTGGGTACAGTCCCAAAGGAAACAGGAAATGTGTCCTGGGTCTGAGAGTGGCAGGAGGAAACTAGGGTGGGGGCACTAGTGTTAATTAGGGCTGCAACACAGTGAGAAGGACTAGAGAAGGGCCCGGAATAGAAGGATTTTATCAGTAAAGGCCTGAGAGGCTGGACAAGGGAGGAAGATTTGATTAGGAAGTGAAGACCTGTGGGGTCAGTAGCCATTGAAAGGCCAGAGGGAGGTGGCTTGAAACTACAGCATCAGGTAAAGGCTAAGGGCTATCAGATATCTTAGAGAGGCTATAAGCATTGTTGTGAGCATAACCCTATGAGTCTGACTTATGAGCTTAGATTTTTTTTTTTTATTCAAAGGAGCCTGAGACATGGAGTCCCTGCGTATGCACTTGGCTGTTGTCACCGACTGGGCTGTATTAGAGGATAGGGCCTTAATATAGCCCTGGGAAAAGACCCTAAGACCCAATGTGTCCCCTGGCACAGAGTTCTTCCTTGCTGGATTCTATTCCAATAAGGGACACAAAGTAGGAGAACTGGTTCTATCTTGATCATTATATGAATAAACATGGTGATTTCACTCTCTGGGATGGGCATTATGATACCCTAGTCTTCTCAATTCTGCTAATAATTAGAATCCAAAAAATATTCACACACATGTACACATTTAAACAGGAAAATGGGTGCCAAAACTACTTTAAATATGGCAAAATGAGTTGAGTTGTGAAGCAACAGATGGGGTTGGAAGGAGCACACTAGTGGAAAGCTGAGGGCAACATCCCCAAACAGCTAGTGGACAGTGTGATCAAGAGGGCAATAGCCTGATGATTGCCATTTCCCCTCTGTTCAGAGGCCAGAATAACTGTAAGCCAGCCTTAGGGAAGGGGAGGATAGGACAACAGCCTCATCTCTAGTGCTCTGGGAGAGACTGGGAACCTCCAGGGCACACTTTAGAACTTGTTTTCTACTGGAGGTGCCTAAACCTGAACCTTTGGTGCCCCTGAAGGTGACATTAGCTGGCCAAATGACAATCCTGACCAGAGTGGCCAGTGTAGAATTCCAACTACAACCTAGCAGGCCAAGAAGAGGTTTCCCTTTCCAATCAGTGAAATTATTAGCCACCAAAAGACAAATGGTACTTGGGGAAGCCCCACTGATGGGCCACCACAAGCTGGGTGGAAAGAAGAGGACAGGACTCAAGGGGTAGTGCTCACCTTTGATGTAGTTGAGGATTTGCTGGACTCGGTGGGGTTCATTGCGGTCTGGCCGGCAGCTTGGCGTGATTTCCAGCACATAATCAGGACCATATGCTGTGAAAAACTGTAAGGAAAAGGGAAAGGCAAAAAAACAAACTAAACTACAGAAAACCTACAAACGAAACCACATACAAACAGTACAGTCAAAAGAAACCCAGCACTATTGACAAGGCGAGGGAAGCCCAGGTGGGCGTGGCAAGATAATGCAGCAGGAAGCCCAGTCCTGGTGGTGCCATTCCCATTGTTTAAAGCAGCGGTTCTCAACCTGTGGGTCACGAGCAATGAAAACACATCCTGCATAACAGATATTTACATTACGATTCATAACAGTAGCAAAATTACGGTTACGAAGTAGCAACGAAAATAATTTATGGTTGGGGGTCACCACAACATGAGGAACTATATTAAAGGGTCGCGGCATTAGGAAGGTTGAGAACCACTGGTACTAAAGGCTCTAGTAACAGTCCACTGCTAAATTCTTTAGCTTGTTGTTCAAGGTTCTGTCTGCTCAGGTCTCAACTTTTCTCTCTAGCCTTAGCTCTTTCTGACTCCCCAGAGCTCCACTCTAGCCACACTGGCCTGCTCTGAGCTCTCCCAAATCATACCACACTTTGTCCACTCAGGATCTTTGCCATTAATCTCTCCCAGGGCCTACAAAGACTCTTCCCCAATCCCTGCTGCCTGTAAAAAAACCTCCTCATCTTTCCAGGTGCAGCTCAAATGTCACCTTTTTCACAAAGCTGTCCTTCATTCTCCATCAGTCCCCAGAGCATTCTGTTAGTATCTCTCTTATGATTATTGTTCAACAAATAGACAGTGCTTGCCTGCACATTACATGCAGGTCACTGTGCCAGCTGCTGTGGGGGTTATGAAGATGGGCGAGACCTCCTCTGGGTTCCTCTAGCTGGCACAATTTGGATAGAGATTTTTAACCAGCGACCTGATCTCTCCACACTGGATTATCAGCTTGAAGGCAGAGAGCACCTATGTCTTTTTCACCTCATTGGTTCTCACAGACCATGGCAGCTGCCTGTTAGTTCTGGCTGTCTTGAATTCCCTAACCCAGGAATGTCAAGCAAGCCTAGTTTCTCTACTTCAGTTTTTCTTCTCTGTAGTAGAGTTTATTTGTTATTAAATTCGGGGAATCAAAATAGAGGTTTTTGGATTCTATTTCTAGCTCACTAGATGACTCCTTTGACCTTTGGTAAGTCACAATATCTGATTCAGCTTCTCTATTAAGGCCCGCTTGGGGAAAACACTCAACGACAAAGGGAATCATTCAATTGGGGTAAGTATTTGAATGGGAAATATGCAAAGCTGCTATTTCTGTTTAGTTTTTAACAGAAATAGTATTTGTGCACACTCTCTGGAGAGAGAGCATATGGTCCTTAACATTATGTGCTTTCAATAGTGATATTGTTAGGCAGTAAGTAAGCCAGGGAAATTCAAATTCCCCAGAAAAAAATGGTACAGAGGGCATAAAAAAAGAGATCTTGATGTGTGTCATGAATTTGATGCCATTCAAAAAGTCTCTAAAAATAATCTAGAGTATTGCCATTGCCACCGAATTATCCTTGTTAAGAGTCTGGATGTACATCTGGCACTGTGGGAGAGGCTGTGAACAATCCCTAGGGATTCTAACAGTGTCTTTGTGGAATCCATGAGAGCAATTTGATGGGGAGATGGCTTTTGCATATTCATTACAGACAACTCTACACATTTAAATTAAAAGAAAATGTCCAAGACTTATAATGTGCCAATGCTTATAATTCCTTTTTGTGTTTTTGGTCTGACCAGAATGAAGAGAGGGACCTAGTTTTCTGCTCCTGGAGTTATTACTCTCTGATGCCTAAAGCCCTGAATTCTAGAGATAGAAGAGGTCTTGAATAGAGATAGTCTCTACCAAACCCATATATGAAACAGATAGGAGGGGTTACCTTGTGACACATCCTGAAACTACCCCCTCCCATTATGATCAAGGAAACTTGAGAGGTTTGGCCCTCTCTCCTTAGGCGGCCTCTCCTCCTCCAGAGGGTGTCAAGTAGTACACTCATTTCATGGGTATGGAAATATGGGTTTAGAGAGAGCAATAGCAGACAGGCAGCTGCAATGAAGCAGCTGCTCTGGGAAACCCAAAGCCCTGGCATCAAGGTGCATAAAAATCAGAGGCAAGGGGCCTTGCTGAGGTATAGGAGGAGGGAACCGCTGCTTCTATCTAGGAAAGGAGTACTGCTGATCCCGTCTACAAGACATGTGGTGAGGGCTGAGTGTTTGGAATAACATGTCCTCATTGTGAGTATAGGTTACATGGTTGCCTGCACTCTCCTACTCTAGTCTCCTGTTTGACCAAGAGTCAAGTGTTACAAGATGGTCAGCTGGGACCAGAACTGCCATGTAACAGAACTGACCTTTCCTGGGATTGAACCTCTTGTCCTGGTTGCATTAGCACTTGGTTTTAACCAGTAAATATCCCATTCTTTGCTGAAGTAGGCTGGCTTTAGGCAATAACCAAGCCTGGCTTCTTAAATATCTCCCCACCTTTGACAATCAAATATCATTCCCAGGTTTGCTTATTTGCACTATTCTTAGGCTAGGGGTCATGGATGATTTAAGCAAGTTCCTGTTTTGTGATCCTGTTCCACATGTCAGTTGGCTGGTCCCAGCCTTGGGAGGCTCTAGTTGGGGCTGTAGGAAGAGATAAGTACTGGGGAGGCAAAGGTGGTGTCCTGTCCGCCCCCCCCCCCGGCTTTCTCATGGCATTTTCCTGTTTCTGCATATTATGCTTTTATTTTTGCACTTGTTATAATTCTTTTCTACTGGATTATGAACTCTGCAAAGGCAGAACCTTCATCACAGTCTCTTTGCATAGCATGTAGAGTTGAACTCAAGTCATTAACATTTCTCTTTAAACTGTTATTTTAAAACTAGAGGCCTGGTGTGCAAATTCATGCACAGGTGGGGTCTGGCCGGCCTGCCCCAAAGGGGGCTCATCAGGACAGGCTGGCGGGGGGGAGGGGCTGTGGGCAGTTGGCTGGCTGGCCCCACCCCTGATCGGGGTGCTGGGGGCTGATTGGGGTCTGGGCCAGCCAGGGGGAGGGGCTGATTGGTGCCTGGATCAGGCCAGTTGGCTGCCGCAGGGTGCGTCATAGCCACTGGTCGTTCCGGCCGTTCTGGTCATTCTGCCATTCCAGTCGCTGGGCTTTTATATATATAGATCATGTTAAATTAAATTAATTCATAAAAGGTTTAACTGATTGTTGAGTTAATTCTGTGGAATAATGAAAAGAGCCAACTTACAGCATTAACAGCTTTTCTAGACTATTGAGGTAGAATGATGAAATGAAAAGAGTCCTGGTTTTAGAGTCCAGCCAGAGCTGTATTTTTTTTTTAATATATTTTATTGATTTTTTACAGAGAGCAAGGGAGAGAGGTAGAGAGCCAGAAACATCGATGAGAGAGAAACATTGATCAGCTGCCTCCTGCACATCTCCTACTGGGGATATGCTCGCAACCCAGGTACATGCCCTTGACCGGAATCGAACCTGGGACCTTTCAGTCCGCAGGCCAACGCTCTATCCACTGAGCCAAGCCGGTTTTGGCCAGAGCTGTATTTTTGTATCCAGATTTAGGTGTGTGCCTCAGCAGAGTTGCTTAATCTCTGTTTTGTCATTGCTACCAGAGAGATGATAAGTGCTGATCTGGCTAGGCTGTTAGGAATCACAGATAATATACACTTAGTAGGATTTCAGTAATGTAAATTCCTTTCTCCTGGGGCAAGAAGCTCTTGCCTAACTGGTGCCTCACATACACCCTGGGGGATGTTGGGCCAAGCACTTGGAGCTATGATGAAGAAGAATCTGTTCCTCCTGCCAGACAAAAGCCAGGAGCCCCAGAGTCTTCCCTACTTGCTTAAACCATTAGCTTTGCTTAGGGCCTGTTGAGAAACTGGCTTCTTTAACAGTTTCCTGCCCTATGCTCCTGCCACTTGTTATTTACTGGAGAGATGGAAAGGAAATCTGATCACATAAGGTAAAAGAGATGTTAGGGTGCAGAGATTTGGGTAGCACTAGAAATAGCTTGAGGCCTCACCCTGAAACTGCCCTCCAGCCCTTAAGAGGAAAGGGAATGGACAAGCAGCAATCCCATTCCCAGACAGATAGAGTAGGATGAAAGAGGTCAGTGGCCTTCCAGTGAAAACACTGGCTATGATCTCAGTAAAGGAAGAAGGGAGTGGCTAGTTCTTCTCCATCTAATTCCCCCTTCCCTCAGGACTCCTTTTGCTTTCTGGGTTTCAGTTTATACATGATTGAGGGGAACATGGCAGTGGGAAGGGTGTAAATAGAAAGTATGAGGTGCGGCAGAGGGATCAGAGTTGAAGATAATGGCTACTTTAGGGTATTCAGTCCCTTCTTGACCACAAAGTCAATGAATAAAGTAATGAAAATTGCTCAGTTTAGCCCAGTTCAACACACGTTTCTTGCTCACTCCTCTCCAGCTCTTGCTCACACAATGCTAACAGCATACACTTAAACATTTGGACAAAGATACTCAAGCCTAACGGTTGCTGTTATTGCTTCATAATCTTATTTGATCATAGGAAACCAAACCACAAACCTGGATCAGCCAATCCTTTTATCCTCTCTTTAACATGTATTCAGTACCTACTATGTAACTGACGTTAGTCATCAGGGTACAAAGATGGTAAGATATGTTTAGTAGGAAGGATTATTAGAGAATAGTGTGATAAGAGGTATAATAATAATCATACTAAAGAAAAAAGTAAAAACAGTTAACATTTATTAAAGGCTTATTATGTGTCAGGCACCTAAAGTATCTCAGAACTTTTAATGGATTGACTAACTTAATTTTCACAACCAACTCTTATAGAAGTATTATAATTATTTCTATTTTAAGATGAGGATCTGAAGCACCAATCAGATAACTTGACAGAAGTAATACAGTTAGCATATGTGGAGCTGAGTTTTGAACCCAGGTCATTATGGAGATCTACAGCAGCCTCTAAACTATCTCAGAGGAAGTGACTAGGTAGGTGTATGGTG